TCCCCAATGCTGACGGGGGGAGGGGGGCACACAAAGACCCCAGGGTGAGACTGAGTCCCCGGTGAAGCAGACTCAGGTTCCAGCAAGTTCCCTTCCTCGCCTGGGTTCTGTGGCTGGGCCCCATGGGGCCCTGGAGGACCCCTGGCTCTGGGGAGACAGCTGTCTGGGGGCAACGGAGGTCCACACAGAGCTTGCGTGGAAGGCAGGCTGTGAGGGGGGCACAGATGGGGCCTGGTAAGCCCCTCAGCCCTGGGCTCCAGAGGAAGGGTGGGCAGGCCTTGAGGAGGGAGCAGTCAGGCTCAGGAAGTGGGGGGTGAGGGGACCAGGCAGGCAGGGGTTGAAGGTGGAGAGGAGTGCAGGTTTTAGAGAATGGGGAGCCCGAATCCCCAGTGGGAAGCGAAAGCAGACAGTGGGGAGAGCCGCGTTTGGCCCTCTGTGTCAGAATGGGCACCCATGAAGCACTCGGCGGCAGACTGAAAGGTGAGGGGTTCGAGTCTACACCAAGGTCCCCCAGAAGAAAGGCCTGGTGATCCCACTTCTGAAAATGGTTCCAGCCATAGGCAACCCCAGGAGTGCAGCTCTTTCCTGACACGCACCACGCAGGAGTCAGGGCTGCCTCAATTGTTGAGCCAGGGACAGGGGTGCTGGGGGGCAGCATGGGATGGCAGAAGGTGATGTGGGCAGAGGGTGTATGCCGGACCGGGGTGTGGGGCCAGAGACGCAAGGAGACACTGCCCAAGGGAACAAGGAGGTGGGGTCGCCCAGTGGGTGGGACTACCAGCAGGAAGAGGAGGCCGGCCCATCCCTCCCCTCCCCGAGTCTTTCCCCTGGACAGGGAAGGGAGACCCGGGAGCCCCAGCCCCGCCCCCACGCCGCCTCCCTCCTAGACACAGCTTGGCAGGGGCAGGGGCCCTCAATCCTCTTATCTGCTGCCCACAGACAGCGCCCAGAATAGGGTAATCTTGAGGATTAGCTTCCTCTTCACTTCCTGGGAAAGAAATGGGTCATCGCCTGGCACCACGAATGCTTGGAGTCCCGGGAATGCTGCAGCCCACAGTAGGGGTGGGGGGCCAGGGCAGGGGTCCCCGTATCTTCCCCCTTCACTCCACACTCCCCTCCCCGCCCCTGATCTGCACCCCTCAGCCCTAACCAAGTCTTCCCTGCCAAGGATCCCGTCAGGAGCCCTTGCAGAACACTTCAGAGCCCACCCCCACCCCCCAAGGCCTTTAGGAACTAAGGTCACTGTGAGAGTGAGTTAGGGGTCCTGGAGCCGGGCAGGGTGACTCTTCAGAAGCTCCCAAGGGGCCGGCCAGCACACTGAGGCTGCCACCCAAACTGCACCGCCCTTCTCTGAGGGGCCTGGCCTCCCCTGCCCAAACTCCCACCCCCCTGCCTCTCACCTTGGCCTACCCACACCTGCCTGCCCCCCACTGGCACGGCAGCAAAGCAGAGAGGTGCTGGCCCGCCAACCCAAACAGCACAGGTTCAAATCTACCCAGAGAACCCATGGGAGAAGTCCTGGCAATCTATTGGAGGAGATGAACACTGCTGTGTGAGGGCCAAGGCGCTGTGTGTAGTACACCTGTGGGGTGTGCCGAGTTCCTCCTGCGTGAGCCTCCCGAAAAGTGGGCGACAGAGGAGATTGGGGCAGTGAGCGCTGGCTTGAACAGCTGGACGGGCAGTCTGTGGCTGTCTTAGAAGGCCGGTAGGGCTGCCTTGTTCACGCTAGAAAAGATGTAGGAGGGGGTGACCAGGGAGAAGAGCCAGGCCACACCAGGACGGGGCTGGGCAGACCTCTTGTGAAGTGGGGTGATGGTGGCCACCTGCAGTTTTATGCCAGGGGCACAAGGGACCCTGAGGGCAGGAGTGACCTTCCCTGGTTGTCCTGTGCTGAGGGTGACATGGACTGTAGTCTCCTGCCTGCTGGAACTGGCTCACAAGCTGGCACACCCACTGAGCCTCAGGGAGGCGTTGGTTCTGAGACCTGGGACGTGCTGGGTGTCGTGGCCACGGCCTGGGGCAGGCAGACAGGGCCCCTGGCAGGCCTTGAGGAGTCTCCTAGGGGTGTCAGGGTAGGGTCAAGGCACTGATAAGCAAGGTAAGCACAGACTGACATGTGCTGACTCAGAGCGACACCACCCCCCCCACCCCGCCCTGGACTGAAACTGTTTCCGGGAATAGAGAGCCCCATCTTTCTCCTGAGGAGTACCTGATGGTTTCGAACAACCGACCTCGTGGGTCACAGCCCCACGCTGTGGCCACTACTCCACCAGGGCTCCCCTCATCCTGAGACCCTGCGAGTTTCAGAGTCTGCCCCCTTGGTGGGAAGGCGTGGGCTGGCATGGAGGGGCTGGGATTTGATTGAGGAGATGGGGGCCGGGCAAGGAAGGCTGTTGGTGGCGGCAGAGGCGGGGGCTCAGAGGACGAGGACGCCAGGTGAAGGCGGTGGGAGTCCTAGGTGTGCGACGGGCACTAGGCTGGGGATGTCCTAAAGAAGCTGCAGAACGTGGAGATGTGAGCAGAGGGAGCTGGTGCCCCCCCCCATTGGTGGGTGCCTGCCCCTGGGGCGAGGAGGGCAGGGGAAATCCAGGGTGCAGTTTTGGGCCCAGTGGGTGGACTTGCACCTGTGTCCACCTGCACCTGCCTGGCTCCGGGCACAGCTGGCAGGCGGTCCAGAGCACTCGGGGAACAGGGCCTCTGGGGGAGGCAGGGAGGCAGAGGACAGGTGGGGACTCAGGGGGATCGCTGGTGGGAGGCAGAGGGAGGGGTGGGGCTTCACCATCTGGGGTAGCCGCAGGGGGTCAAGGAGAGACCTGAGAGGAGAGAGGCAGGGCCTGGGAGCCCGCGGGAGGCTGGTGTTAGATTTTCTTGACTTTGTTCTTTTAATCGTTTTGTTGGGAGCTCTTACAAGGGTGCTTGGTTTCGCTTCTGGTTTGCGTCCGTACTGTGGCACCCGGCACTCACGATGCGTGTTCCGGCTACACCCCAAGAGGAGTTGGGGGCAGCCGGGGGTCAGGCAGAGGGAAGGCTGGGCCTCCTTCCCAGGGAAAGGGGAAGGCCCTGGCCGTTCTCCCAGGGCAGAGTCCGAACCACACCCGCTATCTCCAGGGAGGGTCCAGGGAGCCGTGAAGGGGAAGGGGACCCCACAGTAGGTTTCCAGGTGGGCCTCAGTTTCCCCCCTGCATGGCTCAGGAGGAGCTGTCTGAGACGGGGAGCTGCTGCCGGCGATGGCGGGTGGGAAATGCGGCCTAGCTGCAGCCCAACCCAGGAGCCCAGGGATAAAGTGCACACTGGGATTCGGGAAGGCTTCCCTGGGGGCTGTTGGATGGGGGTCCAGGACAGGGAGTAAGGGGCTGTCGCAGCCCTCGGCTGATCTGCCAGTGTCCCGAGGGCTGCTACCCACCAGCCCGCCACAGCGGCCAGCCTGGGGCTTCCAAGACTGGCCACCCTCCCCCTGAGAAGGTTAGGGGGCGTCATCACCCTCCCCCTGATAGGGTGGGAGACTTCCACCCTCCCCTCTGAGGTTAGGGGGGTCATCACCCTCCCCCTGAGGAGGTAGGGCTGTTTTCCAGTGACCCATCCTTGGGTGGGGACTCAGCTCGGATGGACTTGCTGCTCGGTGCCACTCAACCAACCCCAGACCAAGGGAGAGGTCTAGTGAGGCCCAGCAGGGACCCCCCCTCTAGGGACATGCTCCTCACCCAGCTGGGGGAGTCTAGCCCCCAATCAGACTGGGGCTCAGCTTCATTCAGCCAATTGCTGAATGAAGGGACAGAACCCACTCCCTGCTCACAGAAAGGATGGGGGTTCCCAGGCTTTGAAGGAGCCAGGTGTGTGGCCCCAGCCCTGCTGCACAGCAGGGAGCGGGCAGGGAGCTGTTGGGCTGAGAGCTGGGGGTCTGAGGCTTGGGGGCACCTGGCTTCCCATCTGGGTGATGGGCAGGGGTTCGGGAGAACAAGGGTGTGAGTGGGCTTTCGTCCCGGGGGTGGACCACAGCTCAGGGAGCTCCCCTCCCTGAGCCGTGGTCTCCCCACCCACCCTCCAGTGCCCCTACTTCAGCCCGTTTGCCGACGAGCTCACCGAATACGTGACCAGGAACATCCTGGCCACGCCCATCATGAATGGCAAGGACGTGGTGGCTGTCATCATGGCCGTGAATAAGCTGGACGGGCCCAGTTTCACCAGCGAAGACGAAGACGTGAGTGCCCAGGGACCCCTGGATGTGGCCCTCTGTCCCCAGTGTGTGGTCCTGGGCAGTCCTGTCCACACCGGAGCCTACCTGTCAGCCGGTGCTCTGCCACCGTGTGCATGTGGGTGACGAGCCTGCGTGCGTGCGGTGGGGATGGCCCACGGCCGGGCAATGTTGGATTCCGTGGTGTCGGGGGGCTGCCCCAACTTCCTGGGCTCGACTGGACCACAGCAGTGGCACTGGGTGGTCTCTGTCCTAGGCTTGTGTGCACGCAGCGCCCCCGCTGGGCACACCTCTAACTGCACCTACACTTCCGGTTGCAGGTTTTCTTAAAATACCTGAACTTTGCCGCCTTAAACCTGAAGATCTACCACCTGAGCTACCTCCACAACTGTGAGACGCGACGAGGCCAGGTACCGCAGGAGACACCCGGCGGGGCTGGTCCCCAGCCGCCCTGGTTTCCCTTGCCAGCCCGCTATACTCGGAGCCCACCCCTCAATCTATCCCAAGCTCTCTCATCCAATCACTGTGACTGCAAGTCCTTCTGTTCCTTGGGATCTCGAGGCCCCTCCCGGCTCCGCTCCAGGGTCCAGGCTGTTGAGGGCAGAACAGGCTCTGAGCTTGGTAGCACCTGGACCCCCTGGTCACCAGCTTCAGCCAGGCCTGGAGTAACGGAGAAGGCTGGCTTCCTTCAGCCTCGCTCAGCGGTGACGGCAGCACAGTGTCCGTCCGCCTGGCCAGGGTCCAGGGTGGCTATCTCCAGGAAAGGAGAGGTCAGCAGGCTTTGGGGTTGGGGTTGGGGAGCTGAGGGTAGGAGCTGCCTGCAGAAAGACCCACCCCTTCCTGGACACTGTCTGGAACTTCCTTTGGAAGGCGTTGCCTTTGTGATTGTTTGGTTCTGACCCACAGCAGCCACACGCAAGCAGAAGGAAATAATGCCCCGCCCTGCACCGTCCTCCCAAGTGTTGCGGCCACTGCGTCCATCCATTTCCTGAGGGCCTTCCTCTTTTCCCCCACCCTTCCTCTTGACCGAACATGAGGTCCTTCTCCAGGGGCTGGGCTCTCCTGACATGTCCAATGTATTTACCACTAAGTCTCGCCACCCTTGCCTCTAAGGAGCACTCTGGCCATAGTTCTCCCAAGGCAGCTTGTTGGTTCCCTGGGCAGTCCACGGCGCTCTTAATAGTCTTCTCCAGCACCACGGTTCCAGTGCATCGGTTCTACTTCAGTCTTCCTCTTTCAGCGTCCAACTCTCCTCACATGCGTCCAACTCTCACATGCGTCCAACTCTCACATGCGTCCAACTCTCACATGCGTCCAACTCTCCTCACATGCGTCCAACTCTCCTCACATGCGTCCAACTCTCACATGGAGAAGCCCCTGGCTGGGTCAGGTGCTCCTCAGTCCTCAACGTCACCTCCTTGCTCCTCTGCTCTAAAGGGTCTCGTGTAGCTGAGTTAGCCAATGCGAGGGTCTTGGCATGTCTCGACGACCACTTCCATGAGCCTTGGATGGATCCAAACAAGACAAAATCCCTGACAATTTCAACGTTTTCTCGGTTTATCATGATGTTACCTGTAGGTCCACCAGTCGTGAGGATTTGGGTGGTCTTCCTATTAAATCGTTGGGTCACAATGTTGGAAGGGCCAGGCATACATTATCAGCCCAAGGACTGGCCCCCTAAGAAAGCCTGTCTGCCCCCCATGCTGGACCTTAGAGAAGCAAAGGCTTCCTGCCCAGGGACCACCATCTCTGGGCCAACGGAGCGGGGAGGGGCTGGCATACTTCCTGGATCATGGCTGCCAGCCCCAGAGGGGCGAGGGAGGGGGAGGTCTGGTGCTCCCTGATGACCCGGCAGGATGTGGATGTAGGGATTTTCTATGGGTCATGGTCCTCTCAGCCCTGCAAGAGCTGGCACCAAACTGGCCAGTGGTTGAGCGTAATGAGCAAGTGGGGCCCCTCAAGGCGCTGAGCCGGGGAGCAAGTGTGCAGGGTGGGTGGGATCCTAAGTCCTGTTGCTGTGCGAGTGTTGCAACATCCGCTGGTGAACTTTGCCAGTGAGTGCGTTGCTGGGGTGAGGGCCGTGGGGTGCCCCCCGCCCATGCATGGCGACCTTATGGTAAGTGAGCGGAACATTGCTGGGTCTGGCGCCATGTTTACGGACGATCGTGGTGCGTTGGCATCTGGTGGCCTCTGGTTTCACGGACCCTCTGCTTCAGCAGCCGTCTTGGTGAGCCAGGGCTGCTGTCGGAGAGACACCACCACCGGGGACTGACTTCATCTCAGGGCACCTGCTCCAGGGGACCTGTCCCCCACCCCCTCCCCGGCTCCGGGGGCTCTGGGGGGAGATTGTTTGGCTCCTTGGCCGTCTTCCCGCGGCATCTGTGCGCCTCCATCTGCGCCTCCGCCACCTTTGCTTCATCTGCTCTTTTATGCCCCAGAAGACCCGCTGAAGCCGCACCCTCTTCTGATGCCGCCTTGTGAACACGGCAGAGAAGCCCAAACACGGCCACCCATAGGGACCCCGTAAGGCCAAGTAGAACTGCCCCTGGGAGTTTGCGAGCTTGTAAATGTTAACGGGAGTCGAACGCTCCATCTTTCTCCCAGGAAGCGGCTGGTGATTTCAAACTGCTGACCTTTCAGATGTCAGCTCCACACTTACCCACCAGGGCTCCCAACCACCGCTCTGAGGGTCAGGATTTACAATACATATCTTGGGGGACAGGGTGCCATCCTTCACAGCAAACGCGATGTTCCGATGTCGGGATTCGCCACAGTGACCTTCAGAGTCTCACCATCTGCCGCGCGTCACCAAGACTGCATAGACCAGGGGCCTCTGGTGGGTCTGGGGATGGAAGGCTCGGACCCGGAGCCCCAGAGGCCTTGACCTGAGGTAGGAAGCTCCCGGGCCCAGCCAGAGGACCCAGGGTTCATCAAACACAGGTTATCCTCCTCAGGCCAAAAAGGGCCCACCGTCCAGGGATGGGGCCCCAGGTGGAGATGCGGCCAGGCAGTAGACCTTGTGCACAACCAGGGCTGGTCCTCTACCGTCTTCACGCTCACTGGCCTGATGGTGCCCTTTGTTGCGTCCCTCGTCCCCTGGAGGGGTTCCCTGGTCTTTGCTGACTCTGCTATCAGACTGTTGTCCTGCAGTGGCTCCCACGTCACTGTGGCCCCGGAAGGAAAGACAGGGACCTCACGTACCAGCAGGGTCACTCTCAGCCGAGCGGCCAGACAAGACAGACTAGAAAGGCAGCCCTGGTGTCCCGCTGCTGAAAGCCGGCCTGTGAAGCCCTGGCAGAGAGTAACAGGGTGCTGCTGCACACCTGCTCCAGGAAGTCGACGTGGGAGGTAGGGTTTTGACATTTGGACCAGGTGGCGTCAAACCGAGCTCTTTCATAGGTACAAGTGTTACCCCAAAAAACAACGGAATTTTTTTCAAAGCTATGCATTTCATTTTCTTTACAAAACAACTTTATCACCTTCCAGGTACACACCATGAGTACTTAATACACCTGTCAAATCGGTGATTCCGTTCGTGGAAACATTTTTCAAACTCACCTGTTTGGATGGCTGACAGCACCTTCCTCGGTGTTTTTCTTCACCTCTTCTATGTTCAAATGGCTGTCCTTTCATGTCCCCCTTCGTTCGCAGAAACAAAAGGAAGTCGCATGGAGCGAGGTCAGGTGAGGCAGGTTCATGGGGCCAAAAACTGGCGCACTGAGATGGCTGTGTGAGCAGGTGCATTGTC